CCCCAAAACCCCAAAACCCCAAAACCCCAAAACCCCAATTTTATTTTATTTCATTGATATTTTAGTAATACATAAATGATACAACCAGAAGAACACAAGCTGCTGCAATCCTCCCCTCCTTCCACTCCTAATTCTTCCAAAAATTCCCACTCAGGCCCACTAGACTTGGAAAACCTGCTGAGCTGTAATTTCAGCTACAATTTCGAGCCACTGAAGAAGGCCCTAGTGGAGATCATGAAGAGGATGGAGACTAGGGATGGAAGTCAGGTGGATGACTTTGTTAAGAGAATGGAGGCTTATGAGCATAAGGTGGAACAGCAAGAGAGGAGATGCGAGAAGTTGGAAGGGACAGTGGGCGAGCAGCAGGAAAGGATTGAGAGGTTGGAAGAGGGTATATAAGTTCTATGCCTAAAAACACAGAGTATCCTCTTATTACTATGATTAGAGAATTAGAGTACGAAGTCAAGCTTCTTATCGACCGTACCAAAGAAGCCCACACAAAAACTACCGATCTCATGTCTACAAAATCCCGCCTTGAAGAGACACTCACAGACGATAAAGAAGAGAGCTCTGAACTTAAAGCTATCGGAGCTACTAGAAAAGTACTAGAAGGTGACCTTAGTACCCTCAAAAGTAGATTAACCCAACTTGAGGATAAATCTAAGCTTCTAAACATGAGAATTACGGACCACCAGAAGAAAACCGATGAAAATGCCAAACTTCCTGAAGCTGATGAAGAAAGAGTCATAGGGCTAGACGAGAATATAGAGAAGCTGAGATCCAGGATTGGCCAGATTGAGAAAGGGCTTCAAGCGATGAGAACTCAGAGGAAGACACAAGGAGGGGCAGATTATGGCAGTGGTATTGAGGAACTGAGAGAGGAGATTGAGGCAGATCTTGAATTGTTGAAGCAGAGAGTCACTAAGACTGAGAATACTGCATTGAATGCTGATTTTAGATCGACTAATAATGAGACGATGCTTCTTAAAGACCAGAGTCCTAAGGTGAGCATGCTTCTTAAAGAGATGAGATCGAATAAGGCAGGAGTATCGGACCTTGAGAAAAGAATCAATGAATTATCTGATATCACTTTCAAGAAAGTAAATTCTGAGCTGTTTGATAGAGAAATTGGGAGTAAGACTGTTACTTAATGTTTTAGATCTGAAGATCTTGGTTAGCGAAACTCTCAAGAATGTCAGTCAAAATAAGAAGAATCCTGAAACAAATGGACCTAATATAGAGGAGTCAATGCTAGATAAAACCAATGATATGTTCTCCCGTCTACCTCAGCTGGAGGAGCAACTTCAAAGCTTGGATCACAGAACAACTGCAAATGAAGCAAGGATGGATGAACAAGATACAAATTTCTCTCAAATTCACCGCCTTTTGAATGATAAGGCAAGTGCTTCTTTAAAGAACGAAGTTGTACGCCTGGACAAAGACATCAATGAGATCAACAAAGAGATCAGCAAATACAGCTTGTACAGATCCGAAATTGATAACTTGACTAAAAACTTCCAAGGGTTGGATAAAAGTCTAGACTCCCTCGAAGGAAAAATCGAACTTGTCAAGGAGAACCTCAACGATACTCTGAGAGACACTGAAAAGCTCCTGAACAAAATTAAGGAAGAACTTGAAAGAATTGAGGAAGAGATGAACTACCAAGGAGGTGTCATCATCAAAATAAACCAAAGGATAGACATTCTTGAGGTGAAGATAAGCAATTTTGACAAGTCCTTCTCAGGTGGCCTGGGCGGCAGTTCTTCTCTTGGTGAGCCCTCAGACAGCGAGACGGTAAAGCTCAAAAAGCTAATAGATCTTGTTAAGAAAGAATTGATGCTTATGAAGGAAGAGAATTATAGCAAGCACAAGGAAATGGAAGGCGAGCTTGAAAGAAAAGTTGACAAAGAAGATCTGCTGGAGTTTGAACGACTCATGAGAGACAGAATGGAGGTCAATGAAAAGGCCCTTCAGAAGTCCAAGAGTGATCTCAAATAAGGCTCTCAGAATTATTGATGATAAGATCAATAATATTGAAGCTCCTAAGAATCAAGGCTATTCTACTGAAAGAGATGACGCAATCCTGGCAAAGAAGCCTCTTGAGGGCTGGAAATGAGCAACTTGTGATAAAAATCTTACAAATATGACTGGACTCCCAGCAGACTACTATAATTGGAAGAAAATGCCTAGAAAGGAGGGAGATAGAATTCCTATGAAGGGACAAGGATTTTCTAAAATGCTCTTAACTCTGAATCATAATAACTCTGAATCCCAGCTGGATAATCCTAACTCAAAGACATTTTATACACCTGAAAAAGGTGAGGAGGGAAACATCATGAATGAATCGGCGTTGACATCCAGAAACACAAATGTCAGATCCAGCATGTCAAAGTTAGAAAAAGACGGAAGCACTACAATTGAAAACTCAATGCTTCCTTCAATTAAGAAGAAGAGGAATATATCAATGATGAAGTAATACTAAGGTTAATGAAAGCTATATTGAATAATTCCACCATTTAGTCATAAAAAGGGGTTTTGGGGTTTTGGGGTTTTGGGGTTTTGGGGTTTTGGGG